AGCTGAAATACACGTCCTATGTGAACGAAAGGGAAGAAAACGATGGTTCTGATGAGGGATCGCGGAAAAAGAGAAGAGCTACGTAACTATCTCACCGACATTGATATCGTCTTTTGCACTAGTTTCAACGCATGCAGCATTATTTACTTCAGCGACCTTCTCGAGCTCCGATGTTTGTACTTGGCGACTGATTTCGCCCAGGTAAGATTGAGTGGCGGAGCAACGAAAGAGGGACCACACCTCGAGTGAAGGTCCGATTTTGCACCGACAATTACACACGGAATATCCATTACCCCACAGTAGTCGATAATTTTATCACGCAAGATTTGTACCATTTCAAAGCTATCCCTTGAGGCAATGGAATATACGAGCACGTAGCCGTGGATGCCAATAGCATACTGCGCTTTGAGTGGTGAAAATTCATCCTGGAAAAATACAGCAAGGTCTCGTCCGCGGACGATTCATCCGAGTGTAAGAAGAGTAAGTAATAGATTCATACCTGACCAGCGGTATCAAAGATTTCAAGAACATATTCATGACCTTTGTGTGCGATGCTTTTGACATATGCGCGCTCAATGGTTGGGTAATAAGAGTCGATGAATTGTTTTTCCACAAATTGCTTGACCTAGGCTTTTCTCCATAAATGAACAGTCCTTTGGGGGAAACAGTGTGTATGCACCAGTGACGATTTGCCTAAAGACAATTTGTTCTATGACCGAGAAAGACCAAAATTCTAGCTCACCCACAGACCGAGCTCCTAGAACTGCAATTTTACGTCGTTTGATTTCGACAGGCATGTTGGGATCAACTTCAAGAAAAAGTTATCGATCATCCACCGGCCCGGAGGAAGCATAGCTTTGGGAACACTGAAACTAGGGTTTCGCATCTCCAAACAGAATCTCCAACAGCGCAGGCAAAGTCTGCGCAGAATTTACCCACCGCATTCATCGTTATATGCCCAATAGACCCCATAAATATCCATTCATCAACTCGTCTGTATCAAAAAGCACCTCTTCTTCCCTCAAATCTTCAACACAACATGGACTGCTCTGCTCTATTCCTGCTGAAAACCTCACTCATATCACTGCTTATCTCGACCCACCTTCCTTGTTTGCCCTTTCGCAAGTCAACAGAGCCTTATATGGGCACATAGGAGAAGATCACACTTGGCACAGTGCTTTTCTCCTCAATTTTCTAGGCATTCTACCCGAGAGTGATATCCACAGCAAAAAAGCTCTTGTCCTCCGAAGGACCAAATCTTCATGGAGAAAAGAATATGTCTTTCGCTTCGATCTTATCAGGTATCTGTTTTTTCGCGCTCAATTGCAATCTTCTCATTGCCGACCTTAACCTGCAGACGCTGGGAACGTTCTCGAAATACGACCATCGCCCATGTTCCAGTGCACTCTTCGATATCGAGGATGCATCTCATGCCATTATACTTTCTTATCAGCTCATCTGTTCAGCATGGGATCGTTTCTCGTTCGATCCCTCTGACCGGGAAAGTTATCAAAGGATTCCTCTCTCCGTCTCTTTCCGGAAACGGCCTCGGTATTGGGAATCCCAACACTGAATTCGCCCCAAACGTTACAGCGTGTGCGCTAAGTTCGGACGGTGGTACCGCCAAAATCGTTTGGGGATTCAGGAATGGCGAGATTGCAGTGATGACAGCTGCGAAGACGATGGAAACGGGAACTAGATCCGCTGGTCGTCTAACTGGATGCAAAGTTGAGGAAGAGCATGAGGCGCAAGTGAATCAGGTTGAGTGGGATGAAACTGGCTGCTACATCGTGTCAGCAGCTAGAGATGGACGAATCAAGGTCTGGGACGCGAAGAACATCCGATGCGTATGGACATCGCAATACTTTTTACCGAATATCTGTATCTTCGTTGTTCTCCGTTCTAGCCCTCAAGGCTATATGGTCGTTTCAACCATGGACAGCGGCGAAATATGGGTTTGGTTACGAATAACCTTGACAGTGGAGAATGTTCTTCCTTCTCCCGTTACGCCCGGGTCACCCAACATCAGAATCCCTTACCCTATCCAGGATGATGATACAACTCGTGCTCCTTCGTCGCTTTACGTCGACAACATTGGCTCTCCCTCTGGTGCCTATGTGTTCGTGACGTATCAGTCTAGGCAGGAGTTCTGGGGCATATACCTCGAATACACGAGCTCTTCATATAAAGTTTCAAAATATTTCTCTGACGAAGCTTCCGGCGCAGTCACTGCGCTTTTCCCTTGCTTTTGTGGTGAAAATTCTCCGGATGAACGCGGTTTCGTTATTGCAGGCCATCAAATGGGCTGGATAACTGTCTATCCTCAAATCGAATTGTCCGTGTCACGTAACGTCAATGCTGTTCCATTGATTACCCCTACACAGAAATTTGAAGCACACCCCGATGGTTCTGCAGTAACTGCATTAGCTTGGAACGGTTGTATTCTTGTAACAGGTTCGGACTTTGGAGAAACGTCCATATTCGACGCTTGCTCTTTCAGACGCCTCCGTGTGCTCAATTCTCCTCTGTCTCCCACGAGAATTCGAAATATTGGGCTTGGTGCTCAGGGTGAATCCTTCTCTGGAGGTGTTAACCAGATCCTACTTGGCGAAGAGAGTGATTTTCTGGTCGCTAGCGTTGGTGAACACGCTTTGGCGTTCAAGGCCGATGCCTTGCCCAAGTATGGGAAGATGCAATCTGGTAAGGCTGCTGGCAAGAAGCCAATTAGAACGGTCAAAGGATACGGTAAATGACATTTCTAGCTACTTCTAGTTGATCAAGACGCTTAACTATTCGCCAACAGAGAAGATCCTCTTCGATCAGTTAATAACCGAATCATTAAAAGAACACGGACAGAAGAGCCAACATCTTCGCAAGGTCTATGCGAGAGAACGCGAACATCAAGCGAACCTCGATCGTCTGGGATTGGATGAAGTTGAAGCCTTGGAGTATGCGCTCATGCTCAGTCGAGATGAAGCTGTGGAACGAGCTCGAGTGGACGAGGGTCCTAGCCAGCATCATATACGCGATAGTCCTTATCACGCCATGGATGATGGTGTGTTCGAAGGGGAGTTTGACGACTTCACAACAGAATTGCCCACCTCCAGTCAAATCTCAACCTCGGCTACGCAATCTGTGCCCGTACTCTCTGGAAAGTTATTGTCGACCTCTGTGCGCTCGACTGGAACGATGCAGACTCCTAAATCAAAGTCAATGCCCATCGAGGAATCTCCGTACCAGACATCACCATCGTTTTCCAATCGAAAATTTCAAGTTCACCCTCCTGCACGCAGAAAGCCTCAAAAAGCAAACTTTGGAGATGAATTAATCCCGTCTTCTGTCGCATCATCGATTTCCAGTTCGGCTAAAAGCACTGATAGTGTCAGTGAATCTGCCATTGACGGGGGTGCCTTCCCAAGTATCAGTCCCGCCCGCTCAATAAATGTCGCTCCATCACCACCCAGGATGTCTCTTTCGTCGGCCGGGGGGTCAATGGCACATGGGGCATGGGCGAAACCTCTTGTATCTAATAGCAGTGCAAGCCCTTGGAGCGGTAGTTCACCCGCCGCCTCTTCGCCCATGGTTCAAACTGCAGCACCTTCCTCTGTTCCCTCTGTTCATGGCCAAGGAGTAGATGAAGATATAGATGATGATATAAAGTTAGCAATTCAGTTGAGTCTAGAGAGTGCAGAAGATGAAGCACGGCGTCGAGGGGCGTAGATAAATTATGATACATGCAATATATATGGTCAACACGATAGAAACATACCACCTTAGAGTAAGTAGATACCTGTATGTATGTCAGCCTTTTCAATTTCTTTATCAGAGTAACATTCGTAACAAGGTGAACTACGTACATATCCTGTGTGAACCGACTTTCACAGACAGCTGTCTACATACCGGTAATTATTGGCAAGTGCACTCGAACTAAGCACAAACATGAGTTCGAACTTGACCTGCCAGTGGATTCCTGCTTTCGTTTTCAGGAAACGAATCGGTGGCTCTTGTTCTTGGTCTCCGTCGGAAGCGTCAAGCGGTGCAAGAGGATGAATAGAACAAGTCAAGGAGGCTCAAGGTAGGTCAAGATCTGCCAAGATGTCCACATCTATACATAGATGAAATGTTATAAAACGAGGGCTGGTTGGTAGATAAACCTTTACTGCTGGTCCGTCGCCCCCCCGAGAGAAACTTCTTTGCTGGCCAAAGAGATCCTTCTGACTGGCATCATACGCCCGTTGGTGACACAATCCGTTTTGTGTGCTTTATACGTCCTTTCCACATATTCGCATTCGTCTTGACGTCTTTGAAGATGCACTTCACTTGCTATATTATCCTTGGCCTAGTCTCCGCTGCATATGCGGTGCCTCTGTCTGTGAGTTGTCATATCCTACCCTTAGAGGCGATGCTGCTTTCCCTTTGTAGCAAGCAATGCTGATGATCCGGCTAATTTTTACTAGACTGTCTATAACAACATGGAAGGGGCTTCCGACCAGAGGTCCCTGTCATTCCAGGCGCGAGGTTCGCTGCCATACGGAAAACTCATTTCAAGGACAGAAGAGACCGAACCAATATTAGCCAAACAGGTGTCACATACGTCCTCGAATTCCGATGCGAACGACGATCATGAGCCCATAGACGCAAATAACCCCAGGCCCGAAGTTTCGGAAGCCAAACACCTCACTTTGGGCTTTGTAGGGGAGAGCGGCCCCGAAACACAGAAAAATGGAATGTCACCCGACGCCGCAGGGCCATCGCAAACCAAGAGCACCACGCGCTTCGGATTGAGAACGAAACTCGAGGCGTTGAAAAATAGAATAGCCAAGTCCAGCTTAATGCGACCGGAGGACAGGTCAAAGTTCATCCTACATGACGTCGGGAAAGATCCTATCTCGGAAGGAAGGGGAGGGACTAGTCACTGAACGAATTGATTATTGTAAGTAGAAGACATCTGATATTGCCTCGTAGTGGAATTAGTGCTACGAACATGAACGTTAATTTATGGCGACATGGCCGAGTGGTCTAAGGCGCTAGAATCAGGTTCATTTCCTTCTATCTAGTCATTCGTGGCGTGGGTTCGAATCCCACTGTCGTCACTAATTGATTTTTCTGCACCAACATTCGTATTTTTGACGTTTCCCAAACAATCCCTATATAGGCAGTAACTAGAGACTAATCTAACCACACAGCATGACTGCCTCCACGCATTAGCCTCTCCTCGTCACTTTCTTGCTCCACAACCTGTTCAGTATCCCCTGCTTCCTCATCCACAATTTCAGCTTTGCCATCCCGTTTTCCCGCGGATGGCCAACTCACAACCTCCCGAATACCACCGCTTGACCAACTATCCCATTCGAGCACGCGGACGCCACCGACTGGGTTACTCCTTCTGACTGGTTGGCTCATGATAGAAGGTCCATCGCGTACTTCGCCGGCAGCATAGTCCGAGTCGTCAGTGAGCAGGATCCAAACAGGGGATCCTACACGAGGTTCTAGGTAAGGAATATCGAATGACGAAGGAGATTTCGGATACAGATCTATGGCATGAGCCTTTCCTCCAGAAGTTGGCGTCTCATATCGTTCGACTCCTTCCTCTTCGTTAAAAGACTTACCAGATGAGTTGGAGGTAGCGAACATCCCATCCTGATCCAACTTGAACACACTGACCCATCCTCGGTCATCTTCCGTGACACCACGTGTCGTAGCCCATATCTCTGTCGGCCATTGCCCTGCTCCAACGCTTGGTCCAAGCATCAGAGTGTCTCCTCTGAATCGATGGATAGTCTGAATCGATGCGGACGGATATGAGAGGTTGGGGGGAAGAAGCGAACGGGTACCGAGATACTTGAGAGGGTTGTTTGACCATTCGGTGCTCGAATCAGATCTGCCCGTTGCACGGAAAGCATATACGTCGAGAAGGTTATTATGCTCCGTGACGCAATACAATATCTTACCATTAGGATGAACCTTGACATGTCTCGGACCATCCTCGACTCCAGAACGTGGAGACGGGGAGGAATAGACGTGGGTCAAAAATCCCGAATCAGGATCATGCGTGTAGACTTCGATCGAGTTGGTCCCAAGTACTGGCACGAACGCCAATCGAGTATTTGTGCCAGGAAGATGAGCAAACTCGATTGCGTGGGAGCCGTACCTCAACGCCTTTCGAGACTTATCCGCATCTGCTAATTTGTCGGGAGGAACAAAGAGGACTTCTTGAACTTTTTCCAAGAATGAACCACTTTGAGGGGAGAGGAGATGAACTTCGCCTGTAGGTCCACCCATAGAGTATAGATGCGTATATGGATGGGGGAGAGAAATATAAGAAGATACAGCAGTGATCGGGACATTATCGAGGTGATTAAGATGCCAATCTGATGTAATTTCCCAGCTAGAGAGTATTGGAGGAACAGCCCAGCTTGTCGTATACGCAGCTAAACCGACTGTTGTTGTATTCAAGTTTGTCTCTGAACTTTGTGAACTTTTAATCTTGTCCCGATTAGTACCAATATATTGGTGAGGTCCGAAGCCGGGAACCTGATGTAACAGTGACAATGTCCTTGCAGCGGGTGAGAACGCGAGTAGGAAGAGTGAAAGGGAGCGGAAGGAACCGGAAAGTACGTGGAGAGTTTCGGGAGGTGAGCTGATGTTCAGGGAAGGGCTTAGGACCTGTTGAACAGGCTGCATCATGTCGATATTCATACCGGAAGCTTGAAAAGGGGAGTCTTGGCGACGTGTAGCAGCGCCTTGCTGAAAACTAATTGCTTGAGAAAGGAATGTGTAGAAGGCATCGAATGGAGGAGGCGTCGGATTGGATCTCCGTGTTTTCCCCGCGTTGCTTCGTCAGCATACCGCCGGCGCCTAACTGACTTGTCTAGGGCGCTTACATTCCGACATCTCCTGTGAGACCTTCCATGCACAAATTGCACCAAAAGCATTGATTCAAGTGCCCATCTCATTCGAGGAAAATCTGCCAATATAACATATCTAATTGCTCATGGGTAGCTGCATAGTAGAGGGGCATATCATGGTATCTTAATTAGGGTGAGCTATTGGCTCTCAATATCTCAATTCTGATCGCAAACCAAGTCCAAAATCCGTCAACTCGACTCTCTTTGGTTTCTCTTCACTCCGAGGTTTGTTCTCCCTTTCGGCACTCCGCCACTTTCTCCTGTCCAACCTTCGTCGAGTAACATTCTCGTTTGTGAACATTGAGGCAATCAATCCTTGCTTTTGAAAAAGCTTTGTTGCAATAAGGACACCGCTCCTGGGGAGGTAAATGTCTGTCGTAATGCCTACAAAGGCTTCGGTCCCCGGTGAAGTATGGCTTGCATCTCGAAGGTTGGTTTTCATGCCATCGACATTGCAGATGGATCCTCGCCTTGATTAGCTTTTCGTCAGCAGAAAACTGTAGCACGCGCGCGTCGATCTGCGCTTCGACGTGGTCTTGAAGGTGCTTTGAGCGATCCGAGCCATCGGCGCTGAACAAATATCCGCAATATCTTCCGTCTTCGTGAATGACGTAACAAATTTCGGATCCAGCAGTGTCAGAGTACGTAGATACCTCGTTCTGGGATCGATTTCGTCCACTGTGTCTGGATCGCTTGCCACTTGGTCTCACACTGTCCTCATCTCCGTCTTCGTCGTCGTCTGAACGGACACGTTTCTGGCTTCGGCGACTGTCAGAGGTGATTTGAGCAGCAGGGGCCTTTGGGTAGGATTGAGTGTAAGCGTGTACTCCCTGGTGGTTGGAAGTGCGGGACAAGAAACGGAAGTCGCTCTGAAATTGTTGAGCTTGGCCTTCACTCACGATGTCAGACCAAGGAACTTGCGACTGGTACCCAGGATAAGTCTTAGGCAACTGCTGCCCAGAGTGACCTACGCCTGAGGTTGCAGAAGGGCCGAATGATGGCACCGCGGCACCTCGCTCTTGTTGCAGTGATTCGGGAGAGGGACTATGAAACGGGGGCTGGTGTGGAATAGCACCGAATGATCCACCCTGATCAAAGTTGCCATAGCCCTCGCTCCAGAGCGGTGGTAGCATCGAGGTGCTACCGGATGGCGGAGTGTCAAATGGTGCAGTAGAGGTCGAAAAAGATGAAGGTGATGTATAAACGGAACTTGGAGGATTGGTAGGAGAACTTGAGGTCAAATAAACCTGAAAGTCGGGGGGTGTGGAGGTGGCATATGGGTTCCACTCTTGTACCGAGGGCTGAGATGTGTGCGATTCATTTTGAATCATCCCCTGGCTTTGGTTGGCAAGTGGTTCATCGAACCACCTTTCCAACAACCCCCATCCGTCGTTATCTGTACTGTCGATAGTTCTCGTCGTGGACCTGTAATCCGCGTTAATAAATCTGAAGAGCAGGTGAGAGGGTAGGGGGAGAGTTTCGATGAGATAGGAAACGACGAGGAAACGATCAGGAAAGGTAAAGGGCAAGGTCAGCAAGAAGCTCTCATCCGTGAAAACAATATAGGACTCACGATTCATTAGCCCCAGGCCAATCCACATCGGCTTGCTGGATGTTATCGGAAGAGCTCTCAACGTAGGGTGCATGAGTTTGGAAGTGATCCATTGCGAAGAAGTCCATGAGATAGTGCGTAGGAAGAACAGGAACGTCTAGTGAAAGCACAAATGCACTGGAGCGACTAGAGGTAAGGTGCACCGTTTCCTCGTCGTCTCAGTCACGTTCGTGGTTTCAAAGAGGGAAAAAAGTACGCTCAAGTACCATTTATAGAAGGCCCGCTTTGCTTGGCCGTCATTGTCACGGACGCGTACACCGATACAAACAACGCGGTACGCGGGAGCCTCAATCAGAATGAACAATGAGCGGAACGGATAGGTCGATGGAATAGGTCGACGGAATAGGTGACTATCCTGGTCAATCACAATTTGGTTGGCCCAACAAGGATCTGATCAGTGCACAATATACATTCATGGTCAAAAAGGGAATTCAAACATCGGTGCTGGTTATATTGTTCAGTTGACGAGCTTTCGGCCTTTACTTTTTGTGCTTGGACTTTGCCTTATTTTTTATTGGCCATTCTTTGTACACTCTCCGCGTCAAAACTGGTCGTGAATGTTCGGGGAAGTCCTTCGATCTCTTGGATCTTTTAAGGGTACTGAACAATGAATACTGTTTGATGTGGGATCCTGGAATGAGACGATTCGTTCCAGAGCTGGAGGTTAACCTAGGTCAAAACTTCAACCAATCTTCAGAGTTATTATTTCTATAGGTGTCAGGGGGACATGCAGTAGCGTGCTTCCGAAAAGCTTCCGCCGCATTGGACCTCTTCTTTGATCCTTCCGTGGTCAACAAAGCAATTTCCAAGCGTTTCAAGAGTTGCTATAACTCGCTTTGACCTGCCGTAATACTGAACCAACATCCCGGCCCGTGAGTCCGAGATACATTTTTCCCTCTTCTCAATTACCACCACCAGCTATAAATCCGGATCTTTACCTATTTCAACGGTGTAGCTAATGGGTCTTGATGCGCCATAATATGTATGAATCTATTTCGGAATACCTATGTCTCATAATCTCGTAATCTGTTGAAGATGTAGCACACTACCTCAGACTGCCTTCCAGATTCTCCAAAGCTGAAGTCTTCGCATGCATACAGGTCCGTTAGGAGCTTATTTGCCGGAAGCCTAGCTATGGTACATGGTATAATTCTTTGAACCGTCTTCAGTCGATATTCAAGTCATACGCTCATTCATCAGCACTATAAACAAACAAACCAGCTCGGATATCAATTTAGACTTGTCGTTCACCTCGATCCCGATTGTGAAATCCACACAGCTTGAAAGCGCGATTATGTATCTGCAGGTATCGATGTGATATATCATACAGATGCGCCTTGTCCCATCTTTTGTCCGACGAGAGATCGGCTTCGGTGTGTCCGACATGCCCTATCGAGTGGCGGGTCCAATAGGATAGCGCAATCCTGGTGCGATTTCAGTGCCTCCACGCTCGGTGAACAGGCGTGACCGATATCTGAAGCAGTATTTAACCTGCATCTGCAGATCTCTGGCTGCCTTATGTCTTCTATCTCCCAGAAAAACATTGCCATCGTTGGCGTAGGCGGTATCGGAA